CCGCTGCCTCCCTCACCCCACTGCGGCCCCAGCCCCTACCTCGGCACTGTTGAAGCACAGCAGGATGTACATCTGCAGTGTGGACACGTGGAGGATGCAGTCTCCGAATCGCAGTTCAGCATGGCCCAGCCACGTCCACTGCAACCGCCGGGGCTTTGTGCACTCCCAGCCCAGCTGGCTCTGGCCTGCAAGAGAGCATCAGTGCAAGGGCTGGGGGCCAGCCCTGCCGGGCACTCCCAGCACACCCCAGGGCTCCCACTGCTCCTGGCTGAGCAGCTGCAGAGGGACTGGGCCCCAGTGAGACCCCCACGCACACCCACTGGTGATGTGAGACTCACTCTGCCTGCAGAAGTCGGCAAACTCATCCAGGGGGGAGCTCAGGGCCTTCGGGAAAAACCTCCCAGGTTCATCCATGTAGCAGAACGGGGAAATGGGCCAGCACCGCAGGGACAGGGCCAGCACCTTCACCTCTGGCACATCCGCCACCGAGGCCGTCCCCAGTGCCTGGGCACATGGACACAAGGGCGGCTCAGGACAGGCCCCAGGATCCCTGGGAGGAATGTGGGTGGGCCTCAGGCACCCCACCCCAGCACACTCACCTCGTCCAGGCCCGTGCCCTCCAGCTCCAGCAGCCGCTTGTCCTGCTCCTGCAGCTGGAAGAGGTGAAACTGCTGCTGGAGCTCCTCTGACGCAGCCAAGTTGCTCAGCATCTCCTGGGGGAAGCGGCTGGGGAAGCACAGCCCGATCTGCTCCACGATGGCTCCTTCCAGCCAGGACAGCCCTTGCGCCAGGAGCCGGTCCCCCAGGTAGTGCCTGCCACAGACACCAGCATCAGGCCAGGGGCCAGCCAGGAGACAGAGATGGCCCCGGCCTCACCCCAAGGCACACGGGGCCCAGCAGCACCCATCTCCCCTCCCTGTCACCAGCAGGGAATGTGCCTCCACAGACTGGCAGTGCCCGCGGGACCTCACAGCCTTTCCCTCTGCACGCCAGAGCCAGGAAAAGCAAAGCGGGAGCCACCATTGCCACACTGGGCCAGGCTCAACCACGGCCTTGGCACCGCCTGAGCCTCCCCCTCCACACCACACCAGAAGCCCCAGTCCAGTGGGGACACGGCAACCCTCACCGGTAGAAATGCTCGAATGTGTGGGCGAGCTCCAGGCCACTGAAGACGACGAAGGGCTCCAGGATCTGCTGCAGCAGCCCGGCGCTGCCCACAGCCCCGTGGAGCTCCTGGATCTGCCTGTCGAGGTAGCGGGCAAACTGCTCACTCACCTGCAGAAGGACAGGGCTGGCTGCGGCGGGGGCTCCACGGCTCGATGTGGGTCTGGACATCACCCACTGGGGCTCGCTCCAAGACCGTGGGCCAGGGCAGCCTCCCCAGCCTGCGCCTGGGGCACTGCACGGGTGCCACCCTCCCAACTCACGTGCAGGGTGGCAAGGAAGGAGAGCTGCAGCAAAGCCCCTGCGAAGCCCTGGCCCAGGGCCAGCACAAAGGCGGATCGCTGCCCAAAGAGCTCCTCGGTGGCACCGCGCAGGCGCTGGTACAGCCCACAGTATCGCTCCACGAGGTCCGGCGCCTGCCCTGCCGCCTCCAGGAACCGCTGCACCTGTGGGAGACAGCACGAGAGGGGTGACCCCACAGCGGGACGTGCCCACGGCCCATGGAAACATCCACAGCCCCAGCCCCGCTCTGCTGACACCAACTGCCCGGGTCCCAGCCAGGGAATGATGAGAGGCTCTGGTGCTGCTGGGGGTTACCAAGAGGTTGGGGCAAGGTGGGAGCGCAGCCCCAAGGGCTGGGCAGGGGCTGCGGGGGGAGGACAAAAGCACAGCAGCAGCCCAGTAGGAAATAAGCAGGCCAACACTGTACCTATCCTCAGCCTGCAGCACCAGTCTGAGCCCTGCCAGGGTGGCAAGCACAGCAGGGCTGTCTCCAAAACCCTCCAGGCCTCAGGGAGGCCAGGTACAGCCTCACACCCTCGCCATGCTCCCAAGGCATCACTAAGCCCCACTTTCCCCTACACTCGCCTGGCCCAGTGACCCACGAGCTCTCTCCAGCCCCCACGGCCCTCCAAGCTCTACCTGCTGCTGCACCACGCCACTCCAGCACTGCGAGATGCCCCACAGGCTGCTCGACTTCTCCACTGCCTTCGCAGCCCTGGCCGGCACCTCCTTGTTCTTCTCCTCCTTCCTGCCTGCCAAGGGACAACCCCGGGCTCAGCACGGCTCTGTGGGCAGGCTCCGCACACCAACTGCAGCAGCCTCCCCCTCTCCCTGGGGGGGCACAGGGCAGAGGAGATGCTGGGGAGGCACAGACACTGCAGGGGCACAGCCATGAGACTTCCCCAGCTCAGCACCATCCTGTGTCACAGGGTCCCCCAGAGCTCCCCAGTGGATTCCCACCTCCACAGCCTGGCACTCAGGACGACCGCCCCCCGCAGCCCCCCAGGAGGGCAGCCCCTCGCTCACCGGCCGCTTTTGCCTCCTCTGGCTCTGGGCCACTGGGGTCCACATGCACCAGCAGCTGGGTCAGGCGCCGCACACGGGAACCAAAGACGGCACCGCGGCTCTCGGCGCTGTGGGGCAGCTCCACGCTCTGCAGGTACTCGCTCAGCAGCCAGGCCAGGGGGCTGACACCATGGGGGTCTGCGAGGCCAACCAGACTCAGAGCAGGCACCTCAGCTTGGGGCATGGCACGGATGGGCCCGGGAGAGCGCAGGGTACCTGGACTGGTGATGCTCTGCACCAAGGGGGTCACCAGGGCCTCCCAGCACGTCCTGCCCAAGGCCCGGGCTGCCTCATCATCAGGAAGGAAGCGGTCGGCGAAGCTCTGCTCGTACCGCAGCGCCCGGTTCAGCCTGCAACAGCACCGGGCAGCGCACTGTCCTGCCAGGCACCTCTTCTCCCCCAGGGAAGCAGAGTGCAGCAGTCGCTCTCTGCCCTTGCAGGCACAGATGGCTCAGCAGCCCCACTCACCCCCAGCAGCCAGGGCCCCTCCCTGTCCCGGGCCCTGCCCACACGGGGCCCAAACTGAGATCCTGCCTGCACCTGACCGACCTCCACCAGGTCAGGACACACCAGCCCCTGAGGGCCACCCCTCTGCTGGGTTAGCCAGGCCCACGTGCCCAGCTTAAGCCTGGGGAGCCCCAAGGTGGCCCTGGCCCTCTGGGGCCGCTGGTGGCCAGGAAGGAGCAAGGGCCCCCCTTGACTTAGGAGACATCCAGCTGCTCCTCTCCTGACCCTGTAGTCCCCTTGCAGGCTGCCAGCACCGTCTCCACAGGCCCCAGGACACTGGGGACACAATGACACAGCCAGGAGACAACTCACCTGCCAAAGAGCTCCAGCAGTCGCCTCCGGTCCTGGCAGATCTCCTGGCACCAGGCCTGAGCCCGAGCGGTGCAGGAGAGGAACGTCCGCCGGCACAGCTGCTCCTTGAAGATGGGCCAGAAAGTGGGCCTGGGGCCCAGCACCTCGATGCCACGCACGCGTGTGTCAATGCCACCCTGCGAGAGAGTGGGGCCCTCAGCTCCTCAGATCCACATGCACCAGGGGCTGGGTCAGGTGCCACACATGGGCACCACAGACAGCCACCGCGTGGCCCTGATGCCCCACATTGCCAGTTCCCTGGCTCGGCCCCTGCTCCCCTACCTGCTGGCACCGCTTCACCCGGATCTGGATGATGGGCCAGAAGCGGGTCATGTTCTGCAGCAGGACCACTCTGCTGTCTGAGGGCAGGACGGTCACCTGCAGGCAGACACTAAGCCCTCAGCACAGCAGGCAGCGAGCACCAGACACCCTGCACGCTCCCCTGCCCATCCCTATTCAAATCACGGCCTCTGTCCCCACCAGCAGCCCCGACGCAGTCACAGGGGACCCACTGCCAGGGCCCCACTTCTGTCCAGCCCAGCCTGCTGCAGACAGGGCTGCCCCTGCCCAAGGCTACAGCACCCGCTGCCAGGAGGCGGCTCCTGTGGCGCAGCCCCTGCCACCCCCACCTCCCTGTGGAGCACCTCTCGAGGTCCTGGCACCAGGGCCAGACCTTCACAGGGCACAGCAAGGACCAGCCCACAGCTCCTGTGGGGCCCTGTGGCCTGAGCAGCTCAGCCCGTGCGAGACTCACCGCATTGAGCTCAGTTCTGATGGCAGCAGGACTGTCTCCCCCCAGCACCACAACACGGGCCGGCATGTAGCTGGAGTCTTCCCTGGCCACCAGCATGCTCATCTCCCTGCAGCACACAAACGTGGTGCTGCCCAGCAGTCCCCACCTCCCTGCCCTGGTCCCTGCCAGCCCCACACGCTGCTGGCCCTATCCAGCACCTCTAGGATGGGGACCACTGGGGCAGGGCTGGCACAAATCCCCAAAGCCCTCTCCTCCCCACACAGCCGCTGGCCCTCCCTGCTCTGATGCCCCCCAGCCCTCCTGGCCCAGCCCCACCTGACCACCACGCCACACTGCATGTGGACAGTGATGAAGTGGGAGCCAGTGCTGCCATTCGACTCCCAGTAGGTCTTGGGGTTCCTGTCTGTGAGCTTGCAGGCCCGGTGGGGGTTGGAGGAGACCTGCACCTTCTTCCAACACTTGTCCTCCTTCACCTCCACGCTGGATCCTGTGGGGAAAGCACATGGACCCTCCAGCTGCCAGGCAGCACATTGCCAGGCGCAGGGCTCCAGCTCCCTCTCCCTGCACCCACCTCGGCACAGGTTGCGCAGGAAGACGTCAAAGAAGGGGATGCTGATGGGCTGGTGGCTCCGGCGGTGCTCCTCGATCTGCCCCAGGACCAGCTATGGGATGGGGTGAGGCTCTGAGCGGCAGCCCTGGCTCCTCCTCCCCTTGCCCACCACAGGGCAGAAGCTGCCCTTCGGTGCCAGGAACAGCTGGACAGCCCCCAGACCCAGACCCCAGTGCAGCCGGCCCCCCCTCAGGCCCACCTGGATGCAGCCAGCCAAGATGCTGGTCGTCAGCTTCTTGTAGAGGCTGGCAGACTTCTCACAGTCGGTCACCAGGTCGAGCAGGGCTGGTGCCAGCGATGGAGCCGCACCGTGCTTGTCCAGGGCTTTGGACAGAGCCTCGTGGGCGCCCAGGCGACACATGGCCACTGCGCAGTCCTTGCTGGCGCTGGCCAGGCGGTGCAGAAAGCCCACCACCTCCTGCACCACCTGCAAGGAAAGCAAGCAGCCGTGAGTGGTCAGGCCAGTGCCAGGAACCCGCCAGGCCCCAGAGCCGGGTGCTGCAGTGCTCCATCCTCTCCACCCCAAAACCACAGCAGCGCCCATGAGAGCCTGGCTGGGCACTGACCCCGGGACATGGACACGGCTGGGACAGCAGCCCCCCACCACCTCCCTCAGCACATTGGCCACAACAAGGCTGGGCTGCTGCAGGCACAGACCCCGATGCACCAACGCTGGGCCCGGCCGACACACGGCACAGCCAGCAAAGCCACCCCTGCCTGCCAGGAGTCCCGAGGCCCCCTCACCTCCCGGTTGTTGCTGTGGGCGCTCAGGGAGGACAGGCAGGGCTCCACGCACTCGTGCCAGGGCAGCAGCACATCCTCCTGGTAACCATCCAGGAACTTGTTCAGGATCCTGAGTGACAAGAGGGGGCTCACTCAGGCGAGGCACCTGCCTCTAATGAAGAGCAGCCCATCCCTCAACATAGCCACCAGCAGTCACACAGCTGCAGCAGAGGCCCCAGACATCACCAAATTCCCCAGAACCCACCTGAGAATGTTCAGGCTCACGGCCTTCTCTGCCCCCAGCAGCTCAAAGCTGTGCAGCAGCAGCCTGAAGCACCTGCAGT